TGTTGAATCTTCAAATTCCAGGTTTAAAGGTGAATCTGTTCAACCCTAGAATAGTTGTGGCTACCTTAGTCAAGTACCTGTGGTCTTATGTGTTTAAATATAAGATAAGCTTCTTTTCCAAAACTGTCCTCTGGAAACAAGGCGTCACCTTATATTTGAATCCTTTCAAAGCCTCATATTACACTGACCTCTCTGAACAACAGAGAGCTGTTTGGGAAAGACACTGGAAATAACCTCAATGAATGCAGATCTGAATGCAAAAATGAGTCCACCTGACGAAGGCAGTGGAAAGGGAAGCAAAGAAACATATCGCAGACTTAGTTCTTACTCCTGGCAGAATTAATGTAAACAAGACTTTTAAAGACCACTTTAAAAAGTAATAGTGTTATGTTTGCCAGAAATGCACAACCTGAATTTAATCATGTGGGCTCATCAAACCAACCCAAATCAACTGACATTTCTACAGAATAACTGGTCAGGACTCTTTAAAACTGTACAAGAGACAAAGAAAGACTAAGGAACGGTCTCAGATTAAAGGAGACTGAGGAGTCATGACAACTAAATGCTTCGTGATTCTGGACTGGATCCTACACAAGAAAAGTGACATTAGTGTTTCTTTTGAAGGGAGTCTCAGTTACTTTAATTACTTTGGTCTCAAACAAAACCCCAGAAATCCCTTAGTTAGAATGAAAACAATCTCTACTAAGCAAAGTATGATACCTCTTAAAGATTTTTTTTGGCCAGAATATTAGCACATGATCTTCAAAGTCAGTATGCATATTTTATATCCAACATTTTTTATAAGTTTAAAAGTAAAATTAAAAAAAAATTCTTTAAAAACTAGTTTTGTTCTTTAAAAACATATTTTCTAATGTACAGTTGATACACTTTATCAACTTTGCTGTTTAAAGGACATTTTGAAAGGAAGAGTCAGTGTCTCAACTCAGCCATAGATCCATAAGTATATTCTTCTAATTGATGTCAAATCTGGAATATCAGCCATAATTATAATACATGACACACAGAATAATAACCCATCTTGCATATATCAGACCTTTTAACATCGATGAGACCAAGTGCATCTTTCGCTTGACCACTGTAAAACTCACACTGCTCACAGTGCGTTCTGCTTCCATGAGTGTGGATGATAAAAGGCACCCAAAGTGCCCGGCTGGCGTGGCTCAGCAGTTGAGCATCGACCTAGGATCCAGGAGATCGCAGTTCAATTCCCGGTCAGGGAACATGCGCGGGTTGCGGGCTCCATCCCCAGTGGGGGGCGTGCAGGAGGCAGCAGATCAATGACTCTCTCATCATTGATGTTTCTGTCTCTCTCCCTCTCCCTTCCTCTCTCTGAAATCAATAAAGATATATTTAAAAAAAAAAAAAGCACCCAAAATATATGAACCAAACAACTGGCACGGGAGTGAACCATTAAAGAAGAACTGCATAATGATTTAAACAGTAAAACTTCAGCATATTCACAATGGTCAGTGCAATCACATTCCAAGTAGGTCCACTCTTGGCAGAGCTTACAAACACTAATGCCAGAAAACATTATTCTTTTTCAAAACATTAGCTGCATGCTCAAAAGCTGGATAGTGTTGAGTCTTAAAATCCTCCGGCCATGGGTTTTAGCAAATAAATTAGTGAAAAAAAATCAAGCTGGATAAACTATTCAGCTTTTTTAGCCACACATATAATCATTAGAGCTGTCAAATTCCAGAATCTCAGGAGGTTTTCCAGAAGATAAACTCCCTCTGCAGTACTTCAGCGGGCACTCCCCTCTACCACAGGCCCAGGAAATAGTGCTGTGGGTCCCTGGGAACCTGTTCTGACACCCGGGGGGGTGGTGGTTCTGAAGTCACACCAGCTCCTGTGGCCACGCTGGCTGCAGAGAGCCCTGCCACCCTCCCACTGAGCTGGGCAACAGCCCCAGGAATGCCCACTCCCTGAGCTCGGGGGCAGGGCCACAAAGCACTTATGCCTCCTCCTACTTTGTATGGATGCCTGCACACTCCCAAAAGTTCAAACTGAATCAGGGAACTATTTTAACTCTGTTAAAATATATGTCTAGTTAGTGGTTTTGGTCCAAGGAAATCTATTCGTTTTTTATTAAGAAATATATATTTATTATGGAAAGAATTGAAAGTAAAGGGAAGACATAATACCCATAGCTAAACCTTCTAAAGTCCTAATTTAGTAGTTTGCTATAGTTATGTTCTGACTTATTTTACTCAAAGGCTTTTTCTATCATTATAACATTACTGTATATTCATGTTTTACCTAACACTATATATATTATAAGCAGCTTTCTAGGTTAAACGTCTTTTAAATTATAGCTGTTTAATTGTCCAAGTAACTATAACTTGTTTTACTTAACTAGTTCCTTGTCATTGAACTTGTTGATTTACTTTTAAAATCATTTATTCTCTGAGTATCTACTACATTCAAGTCACTGGATTAAAAATTATAGGTACTACCCATATATGAGTAAGCGACTACTCCCAGAATGTTCTTCAAAACTATAAAAGACACAAACATATATGCACCATATATGACATATGCATGTGTACACTTGCTATGTACCCTTAAACCACTTAATTCTTTTAAAATATACTTATAGGATTAAAATATTCTAACTTCCTTTTCATGTATTCCTTTTATTGCTAATTTCTGGTCTCTTTGTCTGCTGGATTTGCATTAGCAAGGCTGATCAGAAAAATCTTTAAAATAGCCACAAAAGAAATTCTGAGCATCATTAAATATTTTATCTTAAAAACATACCCCAAATATCTACTACACCGGTGCTTGAGACAAAATTGCTATATATGTAATATAGGTCTGGTAATAATAATTATTACCTGGAAAGGTAATAATTTGTTGTGGTTTTCTTTGGGTGGTAGAATCAAGAGAAAGGAGGAGAAATCTGGAAACAGAGGTCTTGGAGCCACAGGACAGATATAAATCTTCCTTTTAGCCCTATCTAGCTGTGAGATCTTTGGCATTTTGCTTAAATGCCACTGTGATGCAGTTTTGTACAAAGGGGTTAATATTTACCTTGCAGGGTGGATGTAGGTAGGGATGCCAGAAAAAATATATATAAGGGCCAAGCATGTACCTGGATACAAAACACTGACTATGTTTATTTCTACAACAAGCATATATTTTGTCTTTAAGAGACAAACAGAACTGTACACAGAAAAAAATTTAAAGAGAAAAATTAATTTACTTGGCTTTACTGCTATAAGTGAATTTTAATTTATTACTCATTTCCTAGTGAAAAGTCGAAATCTTGAAAATTCGAGAATCTAGAAATGGGCAGAACAGTGCCCTGAGGCCAACCGCAACCACCTTGTAACCTAGCTCCTAATATGGAGCTAATCCCATGCTTTCCCTCCTTTCTGTATATTTGTGAGTATATTGCAAAGGTGATGGAGTAAGTTCCCAGTATGGGAAGGCCACACCCGTCCTCCAATCCTGCTTGGGGAGATTTGCTCCCCTTTCTAGTGCTTCTCACCTTGGCCTCTGATTTGAGAGGTGAGCAAATGATTCCTCTGCTGCTCAGTCAGCAGGTAGAATTAACTGCTTATCTTTTGGGAAAGATGTTCCCCTAGACACACCAGTGTAGAAAGCAGTTTCAGCCCGGGAACGCTTTGCCTCACATTTTACAAGGGAGCTCTGACAGTCTTCTCTGATTTCGAATGAAATTTCTGGCTAATGAGAGATTCCCTGATGCCTCTGTAAGTTAATTCAGATTCTATTACCAGAGGTAACTGAACAGTAAGTGGTCCCCGGGGCCTTAGGCATCCCTGCAATTCTCATTTTTCCCACTTGAGTCAAACTGGAGTTTAAAAAGTGCAAATAATTACATGAAATCAACCATCTTTACTCCGTCAAAGTTATTCAACTGTCATCATAATAGACATAATATTGTCAGGGCTAAAATATTTTAGATTTTCCCCCCTAATGGGGAAAGATCATCTGAATAACACCATCTGAATAGTCTCAGGGCTGATCTGCACCTCCATCTGCGGAGAGGCACCAGGGGTGAAGAAATAAGTCTGGGTTAAATGTAACCACAGCCTCAAAAGCTGTGTGCTTGTGAAACTGTCTATAGAATGAGTAGGCAGATGAGATTTTATCTAAAATCTATATCAGTTGTGGAGCTGTATACATAGAGAATTTCAGAAAACCTCTAATCTCAAAAGAACCTGTATGTAAGATTTTGTCATTGTTCTCAAACTGCTAAACTCAAGCTGTTTCTTTGGCTTTGGGACTGTAGGGTCACTGCTGTGGGGATTTCTGAAGCCAGTGTGCTAACAGCACACCCAAAGCACAAAAAGCTTAATTTCAAAAGGTTACTTTGGAAACTGTCCTTTGCACTTGCTGTTCCCTTATCCAGAAAACTCTGGCCCCAGACATACATGCATGGTCCATTCCCTCACCTCATCTGGGTCTCTGCTCAAATGTCCCCTCACTCGGGAAGCCCTCTTGACCATCCCACTTGCAGTAGCACAGACAACTCAAAACAGGCTCCATCTTTCCTTATTCTCCTTCTCCTTCCTCACAGTCCCTCCCATTATAGATGCATTGGTTTATTTTCCAGCCTCCCCTCCCCGCCAATGCAGGCTCCACGAAGGAGGAACTCTGGGTTTTCACTGCTATATCCCAACCAGCTCTCGCCGAGGTCCTGAACACATGATCACTATTCCATAAGTACTTGTCACAGGACTGAATGAACCACAGATGTTTTAGCCAAGTGCCATGCATCTCCAATGCTCTTCCCAGATACGAGCTCAGAAATGGCTCCCGAGGCACGCACGCGGGCTGCCGGGAACACTTGTTTGCTGCAGCTTATGAGGCAAATGCACCGTGAGAACTACCTGAAGAGTTTACAAAACCAAGTTTCTCTTCTAATCTTCCCAGGCTATTTTATTAAGAAACAGACAATTTTCCCTTCCCCCCAAATGCAAATGTGAAACCTAGGTCTCTTTTCTTACCGTACTGATCAGAATTGCTGGTGAAAAGAAGGTAGTCAGAGGCACAGTTCTGGGACTCAATATCCAAGTCTCCTAACTTCAGAGTCAACCTCTTGCCCTTCGGTACTGTGATCGTCCTCTCACAGGTAGTGTGATTGGGGTAAGTCCTCGGGTAATTCTTAGATACCATGGTGCCACTGTCCAGATAGGACACTATGTGCCCACAGCCATCATCTGTTAAAGAAAAAACAATTTACTCTGGGGCCAGAGTTTTCTGGATAAGAGAACAGCAAGTGCAAAGGACAGTTTCCAATTTAAGAAGTGAAATTAATTCTTACTGACAACTGAGAGAGAGTACAATATCCAAGTCATGTGTTTTATTCCTTCTTTGAAAAATAATATTAAATTGTTAAACAGTACAATTGTTGCAGGTTATTTCATCTTGTTTCTCAGTTTAATCTTATGAACACTACCGATCAAAATGTTTCATATATGAGAATAGAAAGCCATTAAGCAAACATATCAATTAACCATTTCACTTTTTCTAATCATCTATCTGCCCATGCAAACTTGCACAGTGGGCCCTTAGCATTCACAGATTTGCCATTTGTGGTTTTTTCTATAGCAAGCCAATGTCATGTAAAAATCTGCAATGGAGAAAATAATATTACTTACTTCAGAGAGGTACTGCTCTGATCAAATGAGATAATATGTGCAAAATCTATATTGCCGATGGAATCTGAGACAGGCTGATAGGACTTTGAGAGATGGTCATTCACTTGGGGACTAGCAATCATTCAACATTCCTATCTCGTTAATGACAGTCATAGATTTGATAGTTCCTGATGGACTCAGGGTGTATCATTAGAGAAAATCAAGGATCTCCTGTGTTGAGTGCTTGCCATACACCAGACCTGGTGCTGTTGGTGACACAAAAAGCAGCAGTGGCTGCTTCATGGAACTGAGAGTAAAATGAGAGACAGTCACATGTCCAAATAACTATAACGCTAGATGCTATGTGCTGTATCAGGGGCTTAAACAAAGTGCTGAGGCACACAAGAAAGGATCTCTTTTAGTGAATTATCACTACTTCACTAAAACAATAAGTGTTCTTAAGACTTCTCTGAATAGGAAAGGCCATCAACAGACCAGCAAGTTGCCCCAGTAGATGAAAGTAACCAAGTGAATCACTCCAACATCTAATGTTGTGCACAGGCGGGTGGGCTGCAAGGCAAATGAGCATACACTGCATTCAAATTGCAAAATACCTGTGGTTCATATGGCTTCACAGAAAAGAACAAGAATTCCTACCCTTAGCTGGAGGGAGAGAAAGCAGAAATCACTTGGAGAAGGAATTCCGTCAGGCGGTAAAACAAGGCCTCTCTATAGAAGCCCCAACTAGGGTATACTGGGAAGCTCAAGACCAAGGGAGCCAGCTTCCTGCTGCTGCTTCCTCCCTAAACTAGAGGAGGATTCACTTGCGGGCATCCTTTATTCCACTTGTTATTTGCAGCTCAAATGATAATGGAGGCCTAGTCAAAAAGAAAAGTCTCAGGGGTGGGGCAGGGAACTCCAGAATCTACCCTACTTCAGCAGACAAGGTGGAGGCAAAGGATCCATCCATTATCCAGAAATTCTGGGCAGCCCTGGCCAGGAGGTTGGATTGAGGGAGAGTTGACCTTAAGAAGATGGGGTCAGATAATACCAGGGAAATGTGGATGAACAGCTAAGATAACACTACTTTGCAACCGGGAGATCTAGGCAGAAGTTGAGGAATTTATACTATAGGCAACAGGGACCCAAAGAAGCTTTTGAGAAGAGACATCATGAAAGAGGTATTTGAAAAAGTGGGTCAACCTGGTTGGGTAATGAAGGGAACTAGAATGCAGGGAGAATCTGGGTCAGAGGAGCAGGAGGGCTAGAAATGAGCTAGCTAAAAGGGGGAGGAAGAGAAAGAAAACCCAGAAAATTCACAAGTATCAACAGACTCAGGTTTTCACCAATTATAGTGGGAAAGCCAAGAGGAGAAATAAACATTAAAATGTTGAGTCCAGAAATGATTGGAACACTGAGGTTAATATGGACAGAAAGGGAAGCCCAGAGAGCAAGCAGGTTTGGGACAAAGGTTGCAAATTTGTTTGTTAAACTTGAGGTGATAGCTATATTTCTTGGGCTTTCTGGCAGTAAATACAAGGCTGTTGAGAATTAAATGAAAATTATACTAGAGTGAAGCATATGGTGGAGAAGCACATAATGCATGGGGTTTTGATTTAAAATTTGAATTGTTTGCCTGCTTTTAAAGACTTTAATTTAAAAATAATCCAATTTACAGGGTTTTTTTGAAAACTGGAAGTCATGGTAACCATATCAACAGGCATTCTCACAGGGCTAGTGATATGGTGGCTGCCAGTGTGGCTCAGTTGGTTGGGCATCTTCCTGTGTGCCAAAGGGTTGCAGGTCAAGGGGTGTGGGCTGATCCCCACTGGGGGGCAGCCGATAAATATTATGCTCTCACATCAATGTTTCTCTCTCTCTCTCCCTTTCCCTTCCTTGCTCTCTAAAAATCAATAATAAATTGTTTTTAAAACCTAAAAGAGGCAAACACCCTGGCTCACTACCAGGTCCTGGCCATGCATTTGTGACCTGTCCCACCTTCGGAGGCCTTAATTTTGAGCACTCTGACAGAGCAACACTGGGGTAACTAGTGTACAAACAAATGATTGTGCATATAAATATGCACATAGCTAACCCTCTCTAAGCCACCAAGATATGGCCTGGTAAACATTTAAATGTCTCTTTTCTTAGTACCATGAAATTCTGCTTTAATAAGAGAAAAGCAAGTAAAAACTTTTTTCTAGAAAACACAGCTAAATATAAAATGAGGAGTGATTATATGTGAATCAACCTACACATGATTACTGTATTCTAAATTTTAAGTGACATGTCATGACAAAGGAAAATTCCACGGTGTCACTTTTATTCAACCCTGTAATTATATTTCTTTTCAAAAACTTCTACTCTAAAGCCTAAGAGGAAACTCATTTCATTCAGTGATACAGGCAGAATGTGAGCGGGTTTAAGGTTTCAACCTGCCCATCACTACTTTGCTGAGGGATATGTACCTCCTTGGAAAAATTTCCCTTTTCCGCAGCTATCAAAATGAAATTCTATGAGTCTTTGTTCTCCCAAAAAACCTGAAGGAAACGACAGCATCCTAATTTATGTCATCAGAAGCTGTAATTTCGCTCTTGCCCACGGAAGTAGACTATATATGGAGTTTTCTGTGGCAAGCACTAATAAGATAAACTTATCCCAAGGGAATTAACTACATCGGGAATTTCCACCCTGTTGTTCTTCCAGTTTTGATGACTTCAAAGAACTAGATATAGTTCACAATGTCTTATATATAATTGAAAGTTTCTAAAAGAATAGATCTTAAATGTTCTCACCCCCAAAAAAGAAATGGTAATTATGTGAGGTGATGGAGGTGTTAGCTAACTCTACAGTGATAATAATTTCACAATATATAAATGTATCAAATCAGCACATTGTAGACTTAAACTTACACATCATCATATGTCAATTATATCTCAATAAAGCTACGAGAGCTAGAAATATGCCAAAGGGGAAAATGGAAAACTGCTAGGGAGAGAAAATGCCTAAGGTATCCCGTATTGAAAAAGGCAGATGCATGCAAAAGAAATACAAGAGAGACGCACTCTCCCCAGGATCTCACCCTAACACCCAGGTAGCTAACTCCCACAGCCACCTCTAAGGGGGGATCACGGGCAAGGGAGGCGACAAAGGGACTTAAAATCCAACATTCCACGTTTCGTATCTTGTGTATCAACGTCAATAACCCCGTTGTGATATTATAGTTTTACAAGATGTTATCACTGGGTAAAACTGGGGAAAGGGTGCACAGCATTGCTGCATTACAACTTCACGTGATCTGCAATTAGCTCAGAATAAAAAGTTTTCATTAAAGAACTGAAAGAAATCTGTGATTGTGGTTAAGTTTGGCAGGGGGTAAAAGGAAAGGGGTGAGAATGAGGTGGCTTTTATTTTCCATTTTATACATTTCTGTTCTCTTTGTATTTTGTTATCCTGTATGTCTTCTATTTAAATTATTATTTTTTTACCCTCACCCAAGGTGGATACGTTTATTGGTTTTAGAGAGAGGGGGAGCGGGGAGGGGGAGAGAGAGAAACATCGATGTGAGAGAAACACGGATCGGTTGTCTCCCATTTGCGCTGCCCCTGGGGATTCACTGGGGATCGAACCAGCAACCTAGGTGTGTACCCCGACTGGGAATCAAACCCGTGACCTTTCCAGGCATGAGATGATGCTCCAACCAACTGAGTCACACTGGCCAGGGCTATTTAAATGGTTTCTGATTGAATATTTATACAAATTTGTGTTGAAAAGATAGAGCTATATGACGACAGCCAATAAAGCAAGCCACTTTTACTCTAAAATCTCTGTTCCAAACCCATTACCCAAGGTTCTCACATTTGTCTAAAAGGCACATAGGGTATTGAATCTGCATGGACTTCATAATATGTGCCCCAGTTTACAGACAAGAAAGCAAAATGTACGTGGACGGCCCTTAAGGCTGCTCAACTGGTGGTGGATCCCAGACTACAGTTCCCAGGTGATTTAGCAATGGCTCTAAAATTTTAAGAACTTTTTGTCTCGCCTCTTCATTTGATTTTCTAACACGAGTAGTTGTGTTTAACCTTGGAAAACCACCCAACTCCTGCCCTATCAAATCTCCCTTTAGATTCTTTCACAGCATTTTTTTATTAAAATGAAAGCTCCCTAATAACTGGCCCTGGCAATGGTCTGCCCAGATGGAAAACCACGGGGCGGGATGTTGGGGAGGAAATCTGAAATGGAGGGATCAGGTGCGTCACCGTCTGAACTCACTGATGGGTGTCACCGTGACTACAAGCGAGACACAGACAGGATGTGTCTCCCGACACACAAAACATTCTCTACGCACCAACACATATGACGTGAAGTTGCTGAAAAGCAAAACATGTGAATAAATCATGGACTCTGGGTCTCATGAAACCTTTAGGTCTCTCTTCAGTCCACAGGACGTGCAGGGGGAGAGGCGCACGCTCATCGACACCACGAGGACGCCATCCGCCAAGTTCAGACAGGGACATTCTAGGGGCAAGGGACTCTGTTTCTTCAACAGTGAGCTGTATGAATAGGCATTTTTTAAAGGGTCTATTTTAGATGAAAGAAAACTTAAGAACCACAACAACCCAGTGAATCTTGTTTGGATTCTGATTGGAAAAACCTATCTTACAAAACCATTTTAAAAAAATAATTGGGGTATTAAGACCAGGGAAGTACTATTCACTTTATTAGATGCAATAATGGTATCAAAGTTATCTAAGAAAATGTCTTTTTAGGGTTACCTACTGACACATGTAGGGCTGACATGGCACAATGACATGAAGTCTGGGATTTATCTTCAACACTATTTCAGC